AAATAGGGAGGGAGGGAGAAAGGAAGAAGGAGGCAAGGAAGAAAGGAAGAAAGAAAGAAAGAAAGAAAGAAAGAAAGAAAGAAAGAAAGAAAGAAAGAAAGAGGGAGGGAGGGAGGAAAGGAAGGAAGACAGGGAGAGAGGAAAGGAGGAAGGGAGGTGGAAGAAAGGAAAGAAGAGAGAACGAGAGAGGAAGGAAGGAAAGGAGGAAGGGAGGCAGAAGGGAGGGAGGAAGGAAGGAAGGAAGACAGGGAGAGAGGAAAGGAGGAAGGGAGGTGGAAGGAAGGAAAGAAGAGAGAAGGAGAGAGGAAGGAAGTAAAGGAGGCAGGGAGGCAGAAGGGAGGGAGGGAGGGAGGAAGGGAAGGAAGGAAGGGAGGGAGGTGGAAGGAAGGAAAGAAGGAAGGAAAGGAAGAAGGGAGGCAGAAGGGAGGGAGGGAGGGAGGGAGGGAGGGAGGGAGGGAGGGAGGGAGGAAGGAAGGAAGGAAGGAAGGAAGGCCACTAAAAATCCACTCATTTACATGGGTTTTTAATGCCAAAGAGTTTGGTGTCGGTTTCCTTTCTTGGAGAAGAATTTGAAAAGCGACAATTTCCCCGCCCCCATGTAGGGTGCCAAAGAATGACAGCTGGTGCCATGTTAGCTCAGTTAAGCCCCCAACTGTAACTGAGAAGCAGATTGCCACAGCACAGACCTCCTTGTATAACTAGAGCATGGAGTGTCAAATGAGCCACCAGCTTTAGTAATTAATTGTTCCTCCATGCACAGTAGGGGAGAAAGATGTCATCCACACCAGCCAATTTTCTCCCCCCCCCCTCAAAAAAAAAAACAAAAAAAACCAAATCACGGGAAAGGAGAAACTTTTTGGAAAGAAAGTCTGAAGTTAAGGGAGGACTTCTCTTCCCTTTCTTAGGCTAGGAAAATGGATGGGAGGGTAACAGAACTTGGTAACAGGGAAACACCAAGGACAGATAAGTGGCAAATCCATTGATTGTGCAAATCACTTTGGGGGGAAGGTCACTAGTGTAGGATTCGTGGGTCATTCAATAGAGAAGTACTCCCCAAAGCAAGTTCAGTTTTTCCAAACTACGGAATAATTCCTTTGACCTGGCTGAGTGATGAATATTGATAGTATCTGAATAGCTCTCAGATGTTTTGCAAGGGGATGATTGGCTGCAGGAACTGGTTAGATCTAGTAGGGGAGACAGGATAGCAGTGTTCCAATATCTCAGGGGCTACCCCAAAGAAGAGGGAGTCAAGCTATTCGCCAAAGCACCTGAAGGCAGGAGAAGAAGCAACGGATAGAAACTAATCAAGGAGAGAAGCAACCTAGAACTAAGGAGAAATTTCCTGACAGTGAGAACAATGAACCAGTGGTACAACTTGCCTCCAGAAGTTGTGAATGCTCCAACACTGGAAGTTTTTAAGAAGAGGTTGGACAACCATTTGTCTGAAATGGTGTAGGGTTTCCTGCCTAAGAAGGGGGTTGGGCTAGAAGACTTCCAAGGTCCCTTCCAACTCTGTTATTCTGTTTTCTGATATGGCTGCTTAAAAAAATTAACCCTACTTCTACAATTTTATAGAGATGATTGTATTGTAGACTAAAAACAGAAACATTCTATTCCAGGGTTTCTCAACCTTGGAAGCTTGAAGATGGGTGGACTTCAACTCCCAGACTTCAATCTCCCAACGCTGGCTGGGGGATTCTGGGAGTTGAAGTCCATCCATCTTCAAGCTACCAAGGTTGAGAAACATTGCTTTATTCTGAATCAGCTTTCTTGATTAATTGTCCTGGTTAGAAGCAGGATTAATTTTAGGAATAGTAGATAGTAGTTTGTGAATGAAGCCTAGTCACTTATCCCCCAAACCATGTTTTAAGCAAATCTTGGTTCCATGTAATGTATGAAGCCAATCTATTTGTTTAGATAGGTCAGTTCTTCATTATCTTCATTTTTATTACTGAGCTAACGCCCCTCTCTTTAATTCCAGTTTTATTTGAAAAGCAAAAATGCTTTAAAACCTGGAATTCCTCAATTGTGGTAGGGGAAACATGCTGTTTTTTTGGGGGGGGGAGACCCAAGCAAAATATAAAGGCAACTGTAGTGCGTATAGAAAGAAACTAGGTTTTTCCATCAAGTTCAAAGTCAGAAGTGATCTGCAGTCTAGTCTATCTTTGTGACAATTGTGCCTATATGAAAGAAATGTTTACAACAAGCCTCCATCACATTTGTTGTGTAGATTTTCACAAAGTGCATTGTGCGAAGCCACCAGAGGAGCGTACCATCTTGTGCTATATAACAGCTAAATTTGGTTCCAAGTTTCCTATTTTGTCTGCGAAGTGAAAATAGCCAGCACAGAGTTCTGAGTTATACTGTAATAATACAGCGAAGCAAAATTGGGGCTCTGGTGGATCATTTGTTGTGTTGCCCACCAGCACATAATGATCCTATTAACATTTAAATGGTCGCAACTCAAACTGGCAGCAATCATATCAGTGAGGGGAAAGCGATGCTGGACGCTATTGTGTAGCTAGAGATGGATTTCTTGACTCTGCTGAGATATTGGACCACAAGTGTATTGGTTTACATTCTGCAGGTTTATCTCTTCAATAGAGAGCTCTTCTTCTTCTGCTTTTGTGGACAAAAATGGAGTTGTTGGAGAACAATGAACTAGTCTTAGAACACAGAACATAGAATAACAGAGTTGGAAGGGAATTTGGATGTCTTCTAGTCCAACCCTCTGCTCAAACAGAAGAGCCTATACCAGTGATGACTAACTTTTTTGCCATCACATGCCAGGAGGGGGGGTGGGGGAGGTGCGCGCATGTGCCCACACCCATAATTCTATGCGTCCTGCCCTGCGCATGCGTGCACAACCCCTTCTCCCGCCCCCCGCTCCTGGCACGTGATGGCCCAGTGGGCCCGTTTTTCAGGCTCCAGAGAAGATCTGGCTCCAGATCTTTTCTATGCATCTGGGGAGGGTGAAAACAGCCTTTCCCACCCCCTCCAAGGCCCTCCTGAGGCAGGAAACAGCCTGTTTCCTTACTTCTGGTGGGCCCAGAAGGCCCGAAAATCAGCTGGCCGGCGCGTGCATATACGCCAGAGCTGAACTGTCGTGCCCGCTGATATGGTTACGTGTGCCACCTGTGGCACGCGTGCCATGGGTTCGCCATCACTGGCCTATACCATTTCAGATATTTATTTCATTTCATTTCATTTCATTTCATTTCATTTCATTTCATTTCATTATTTTATTTTATTTTATTTTATTTTATTTTATTTTATTTTATTTTATTCATATGGCCAGGAGAAGCAAAGCAGCTGTGGCTGTAATAAACAGACATAATAAACTCAATAAACAGTGCAAAGAAAGTGAAGATGAATATGGAAAGGGGAGGACCAGAGGTTTAATTAAGAAATTTACTGAAATCCAGGGAAACATTTATCCAAAAATCGGCATGATTAAAAAAAAAAAAAGAAAAAAGAAAAAGATCTTTTGGAGGGGAAAAAAAATCAAAGAAGAAATAGCACAAATATACAGAGCTGTCCAACCAAGATCCCCAAATTGCTAAAACTTACCAACATGTGATCGTTGAACCACAGCCATTCTGGAAAATGGAGTTAAATGGGCTGTAGAAAGTATTACTAAAAATAAATCTGCAAGAGTGGATAAAAACACCAGCAAGAAATGTTTCAAATCATACAAGATGACTTTGTCGAAGTCAGTGTGCCATATAGTGTGTGGGTGTGTAGGCTCAAAATCAGCCACATGGCAGGAGGGTCACAATTCAGGTTTGCTGTGTGATGTTCTACCTGCCATCTGATCCATTTTAACACCTTGAGTTGGAGTAAGTGTGTTCAACCTGCAGCCCACAGGCAGCATGTGGCCCTGGATAGCTAGTAAGGCAGCCCACAAGGTAAATAAGAGACAGGAGGTAAGTCATGGGTGAATTCCATCAGGTTCTGACAGGTTCTGGAGAACCGGTAGCAGAAATTTTGAGCAGTTCGGAGAACCGGCAAATACCATCTCTGGCTGGCCCTAAAGTGGGGTGGGAATGGAGATTTTGCAGTATCCTTCCCCTAGAGTGGGGTTGGAATGGAGATTTTGCAGTATCCTTTCTCTGGAGTGGAGTGGGAATGGAGATTTTGCAGTACCCTTCCCCTGGAGTGGAGTGGGAATGGAGATTTTGCAGTATCCTTTCTCTGGAGTGGGGAGGGAATGGGGATTTTGCAGTACCCTTCCCCTGGAGTGGAGTGGGAATGGAGATTTTGCAGTATCCTTCCCCTGGAGTGAGGTGGGAATCGAGATTTTGCAGTAGCCATCCCGTGCCACGCCCACAGAACCGGTAGTAAAAAAAAATTGAATTTCACCACTGGATAACTGGGCTATTTTTTTTTCTTCTTGAGGAAGAAGAAGACATTTTGCTTCTCAGCCAAGAGGTTTCATCAGTTCTGACTGGATAGGGTGGGTGGGATGGAAGAATTTAGTTCTGACAGTTGAGGGAGGATAAGAGTGCTAATGATCAGATGACTGCAAAGAAATATAATCCTTTAATTCCCCACCACCACCATCCCGTCAGAACTAAATCCTTCCATCCCTCCACCATCCCGTCAGAACGGATGAAGCTTCTTGGATGAGAAGTGAAATGTCTTCTTCTTCTTCAAGGGAAAAAAACAACAACAACACCAGTCCAGTTGCCTTTTGAAAAAACAACTTTGAGATAGCCATGATCTGGATGACTGAGAATCTCCATAGACAAAGTCACAAACAGACACAGCAACAATAGCATCCCTAGAAGCTTCTAGGAGACATATGGAGGAACTTCAGCATCCCAGCATGTTCTGCTCACCCATTGGCCTCCTGTGAGTCAGCTTCTGAGGTTATACCAATAACATGATTAATATCTGACAAGAACAGTGATATGCCCATATTGGAGAGAATCTACAACATATGAATTGGTTCTTGGGCTCATTGGTTTCCATGGATACAGAGGCCTGTAGGCCCTGGTGTGCTAAGATACTGTTTTGTCAAACTTCCTCCCTAGACGTATCACTTGGCACCATCCTTACTATGTTTTCGGTATCCTGCTAAGTCCAACCTGCTATCCTGAGCTTTTCGTGGTAACACCAATAACATTAAAATCTGCTTTGTGGGTTATTTTGATTCTGACATATTCTGTTTCCCTAAATTGAGTTAGACCTCTATAGCGGAAGAAAGAAGAGAAGGAGGGGGTGGTGTTAATGTAGCCGAAAGAATAAGAACTAGATTGATTTGGACTGAATATGTTTCTCCCCCCCCCCTTTTCTTTTTTTTTTTTTTTTTTTTTTTGAAAGCAAATTTCATGAGCAGACTAGAACTGTGGCTGAGCGGCAACTGGGAATACCTTTCCCGATGCAGAAAGTAAGTATTCATGAGTTAAACCAAAATATTATATGACTCAAGGTTTCTGTTTCAAATGCGTTTCAATTATTTTGCAGATATTAAGGGTCGGCATGGTAATTAAACCAACCTGCTTTAGGGAGCCCAGATGCAAAACAAAAATTACTATGACAATGACATTCTGTGAAAACTGGTATTCGCTGCTATTCTCTTTTTTTTTTTACTGGTAAATGTCTAAAAGCTTTGCCCATTTTTTTTTTTTACAGCTATTCAGGGAATGGGATGGGACAGGATGGGACAAAATGAAATGAAGTGAAAAAGAACGCAATGAAGTGTCTCTGAAAAAGACATCCCTAACTCAACAAAAACATTCCACAGTCCATAGAAACTCGAATGGATATCTTTCTTAAACTTAAATATTCTGTAATAATATCATTGCAGAATAACACGTACGGGGAGGGAGATCTCTAGGCTTCCTTCAGCCTCTCCCCAAAACTGAGATTCAGATACAATCAGCCTCTTTCACACAGACAAACTTTCTCTCAAAGGCTCACAAGAAACTGAATTGATTGATTGACTGACTGACTGACTGGTTGATTAAATGCCATCAAGTTGGTGTTGACTCTTAATAAATGGCAAGATTTTTTTTCCCATGACAGTACCCCCATCGTCACAGCAATTGAGTCCAATCACCGTGGTTATCCTCTTCTTTTCTTTCCTTCCACTTTTCCTAGCTTTACAGCCTTCTCCAAAGAGCTGGGCCTTCGTATCATTTATCCAAAGTTGGAATCATCTGAGCCTGGCCATTTATGGAGACCAAACTAAGGAAGATAATATTTTTTTAGCATATTTGGGGCTGCTTAAACCCAAATGTTGAAAGATTAATGTTATTGTAATGTATTTCGATGTTATAAAAACCTTCCCCTTCTGACTTCACATCCAATTTGGTGTTTTCAAATGCTTAATGTTTTATCAACATGATACATTAGCAAGTTCCTGTGAGAGATCTCACAAAGATCGATGGTTCGTTGAGGGCGCTTCCAAGAAAAGGCAGCACGCAAGGATGCAATCAAGTTGAATCTTTATTTAGGAATAAAGTAGAGAAAATGAGATCCCTGGCATGGAGGCTAGAACAAGAGCCAAAAAACAGCCCCTGTGCAGGGGTTCTTATAGGGGCCCCTGGCCCCTCCCTTACCAATGTGTGTGAGGGGGCTGGAGGGCCATTAACTCTCCCCAATGGGGCTGCAGGGACCGGAGCCCCTTGACCCACCAGTGGGATCAAAGGTGCCTCTTTGCTCCCATCTGGTGGCCTCTTAAGAAACTGCCACGGCTGGCACAAAACACCTAACAGTTCTATTGAAGTCAATGAGTCAACACACATACAACTATCTCTGATGCTTCCTCCCTCCGCTCCTCCAAGCCAAAGATGGAAAGTTTTGGCTTTGTTTTCAGATGAAGCATCTTTGGGTTTTGCAAGATACTTCTCCTTTACAAAAAGAGAGAGAAAGAGAGAGAGAGAGAGAGAGAGAGAGAGAGAGGGAGAGGGAGAGGGAGAGGGAGAGGGAGAGGGAGAGAGAGAGAGAGAGAGAGAGAGAGAGAGAGAGAGAGAGAGAGAGAGAGAGAGAGAGAGAGAGAGAGAGAGAGAGAGAGAGAGAGAGAGAGAGAGAGAGAGAGGAAAAAATCCTGCATGTGAAAATAAGTTGTTTCTAGCATTGCAGGTTTAAAAATAGAGTTGTACAGAACAGTATATAGGCAGCTCACACTGTGGCTTTATATTTTTAACAGTCCTGCTTCAATCATTATTCCTTGTGTGGAGGACTATGTAACATTGCAACCCACAAATAAAATGAGCTACTTTTAGGTTTGTTTTTTCCGTAGGTATTCAAGTGCTTTTCCCCTTGCAGCAGTGACAAAGATGATTCATTGAATTTCTCCTGATTGCAGTCTTTAAGATGCAGACCTTGCAAATTCATTTAACCCCAGTTACTTAGACACCAATCTGGTCCTTCTATCTTTTTAATTGCCTGGTCAAAATACATGCTAATGCATCTGGATACACAACAGCTATATGTCCTATATAGGGTATTTAATATAATAATATTCCCATGCATAAAGAAGGGGACTCTTGAGTTCCATATCGCAATTGATTGTGATTGGTGTCAACCACATAGATTTTCTGCAGGTAGTTCTGTCCCCAACTTGATCCTTTAAGTCTTTCAAAACTGTACTCATCATTGTTGTAATTCAATCAATCCATCTTTCTCCTGGTCCTCTTCTCTTCTTCCTGCCATCTTCCCTAGCATTATATATATATATATATATATTTTACAGAGATCTGGATCTTTGCATAACTTGTCCAATGTATGATCATTTGAGCTTGGTCATTTGGGTTGATTTGTTCAATGATCCATTGGTCTGTTTTCTTGGCTGTCCTTGATATTCTCAGGAGACTTCTCAACACCAAAGTTCAAAGTCACCACATCTCTTTTTATTCTGCTTCTTCCAAGTCCAACTTTCACTTCCATAGAGTGTTCCAGCGAAAATCATTGCTTGCACTATTCTGATTGTTGTAGGCATAGACACTTATCTTTCCCAAAACCTTCATTACTACAATAACTACCAACCTGCCTTCCATTGAGGACCTGTATACTGCACCAGTCAAAAAGAGGGCTGTGAAAATATTTACAGACCCCTCACATCCTGGACATAAACTGTTTCAACTCCTACCCTCAAAACGACGCTATAGAGCACTGCACACCAGAACAACTAGACACAAGGACAGTTTTTTCCTGAAAAACTGGAAAACCTAAAGTCGTTCCCGACTTTAGGGGCTGGTGCTCATCTCCGTTTCAAAGCCGGAGAGCCAGCGCTGTCCAAAGACGTCTCTGTGGTCATGTGACTGGCATGACTCAATGCCAAAGGCGCACAAAATGCTGTTACCTTCCCACCAAAGGTGGTCCCTTTTTTTTTCTACTTGCATTTTTTACATGTTTTTGAACTGCTAGGTTAGCAGAAGCTGCGACAAGTAACGGGAGCTCACCCTGTTACACGGCACTAGGAATTCAACCTTTTGATCGACAAGCTCAGTGTCTTAGCCACTGAACCACCTCGTCCCTTTTAGCTTAACTGGAGCTTGGCTTGACTGGAGCTTAATGTGTGGTCCTGATTCTTGGTGCCTGACACCAGGCAAGCTGTATTCCTTAAGTACCTTTCTATAACCCCTATAGCTTTGCCCCAGTCTTTTGAATAGTATATGCCCATCCTGGGTATTCCAATCAAAAAGGATTACTTTTGATTTACTCCACTCAAGGTACCAGAAGGATAGGAGCAAGGAAGAAGGCTCTTCTATGCCTGCACTATCCTACTGAAACACTTAGCTCTTCTCAAGTTTCGGATGATTACGCTCTCTGTTATCCTTCAAAAAAAAACAATGAAGTCCATCCTCTTCCATTAAAGCTTTGGAGAAATATCTCAAAGGTGTTTTTTCCAAGAAGCAACTGGACTTTCTGGTTTTTCTTTGAAGACATTTCGCTTCTCATCCCAGATGCTTCTTCAGCTCGGACTAGACTAGATCATGGGGAATTTGGAGAAATAGTAGCCGATTATGAAGGATGCCATATATACCATTCAATAACTATTGGTTTAATCCATGACTTAATTCTTTTATAATTTACTTTCCATGTTGGAGGGTCTAGAATCAAAGGCTGGGCAAGGGGAATATGAGCCTATGAAATAAATAGTTCATAGTCAGACATTTGGCTTTTACTGGTTGAGCTTTTATGAGCCTAATTGACAGTATGATTATAACTTGTAGTGCTGTGCTCTTAATTTCTCTTTCAAATTTGCCAGCATTCCTAATATTCACAACGGTGTAGTGCCCACCATGCCTTAAACCATAACATGATTTGTTTGCTTCTAATTTAACATATTGTGTTAAATAACAATGGGATGAGAATTTCACTGAGTTTAATTTCCCTCTTCATTATCACTCCTAAAACTGCTGCAATTGACACTTAACATACTTGAGGTCAGATACCACACTAAGTCATCAAATAATTTGTTTGCTTTATGCTCAGTATGCTGAATGAACCCAGCCACTGTGGTTTGTAAACTGAGCTCCAGGGCTTAAAGACTTGCATGAACTCAGCCAACTGTGGTACACATCAGACTTTCCACGGCTAGTGATGGAGAATTCTGAAGAATGTTCATTTCTTCCTCCAGACTATGCTGAACTGGCAATTCTCAAATGGTTCAGCGCAGAGGTGGGTTTCAGCAGGTTCTGACCAGTTCTGGAGAACCGGTAGTGGAAATTTTGAGTAGTTCGGCGAACCGGTAGTAAAAATTCTGACTTGCTCCGCCCCCATCTATTCTCTGCCTCCCAAGTCCCAGCTGATTGGGAGGAAATGGGGATTTTGCAGTAACCTTCCCCTGGATTGGGGAGGGAATGGAGATTTTACAGTATCCTTCCCCTGCCACGCCCACCAAGCCCTGCAACACCCATCAAGCCACACCCACAGAACCGGTAGTAAAAAATTTGAAACCCACCACTGGTTCAGCGTTATTATTATGTTCGCTGTATGGTCAGCTAGATGTTCAGAGTGGATTTGGCATTTTTGTCTACCAATCAAATTCTTTCCAAGGACTTTGGATAGGCAGATGTATAATTATTATCATTTACTTTATTCATTAAACATGAACCTCAGTCAACTGAACATTCAAAAATGCATCACAAATACCATTGACTGGTGCTAATGGTTGATACGGGTTGCTGCCAGTACCCTAGGTATCAACCAAGTACCTTGTTAAGATGTACAATGTTCCAAGTAGCACAGTTTTTTGCAGTTCCGCTAGTGTTATTGCAAGAAGCTGCAATTTGTTGATGTATCTTATAAAATTCATGGACATGGTTACCAAGTGCCCCGATGACAATGGGTATCACAGTTACATGTTTCATCCATAGCCGTGTAGTTTCGATGGCCGGGTCGCGATATTTCATGATTTTTTCCAGTTCTTTTTCTTCGACTCTGGCATCTCCTGGTACCGCGATGTCAATAAATTGTACGTTTTGGTTTTCGACAACTGTGATATCCTGCGTGTTGTGTTCCAAGTGACGATCCGCCTGTATTCAAAAGTCCCACAAGATCTTCACCTTCTCATTTTCTATAACTTCTTCCACTTTATGTTCCCATGACTTTTTGGATACAGGTAAATCGTATTTTTTACATAATGACCAGGGGATTAATTTAGCAACTTGGTCGTGTCTAGCTTTGTAATCAGTTTGTGCAATTTTGCTGCATTCACAATATTATTATTATTATTATTATTATTATTATTATTATTATTATTATTATTATTTTAAAGAACTGGAAGACTTTAGGAATGCTCTAGAAAAGGATCCATCCCCTAGAATGGAATGTTCCTGAATTCTCTGAGATCTTCCATTGCAAGTAACAGAATCATATAAGTAGCCAATTGCATGTATCAGGACCGGGGGGGGGGTTCAAAACCCATCGCTACCGGTTTGCTCGTAGGCGTGGGTGCGCTCATGCACATGCGTGACCCTTCTGTGCATGCGCAGAAGCTTCTGAGCATGTGCAAAAGCATTCGGGCGGGTGGGCGGAGCCTCTCACCACCGCCGCTACCGGTTTGCCCGATCCAGGATGAACCAGTAGCAACCAACCACTGATCAGGACATCCAGTCTCTCAATGTATCCTAGACCGATGAATGATGAAAGGGAACTTTTAACACAGACTGAATGAGAAATAGATGGACAATGTTATCTCCAAAGCACTTTCGGTAATATATTAACAAGTGCCACATAATCTAGTTTTGTGTGAATTAATCTGCAGAAAACTGATTTTCTATACTGGGGATTTTCTTTGGTGCATGGGTTTCAACACGATAATTCCTGTTGCTTTATAATAATTGTTCTTTAAATAA